TATAAGATGGTAGTGAGGCTTGCAATGCTTTATGGTGCCGAATGTTGGCCATTAAAAGAGAAGCATAATACTAAGTTAAGTGTGACAGAGATGAGGATGCTCAGGGGGATGAGTGGCTTTATCCTTAGAGATAGGATACGAAATGAGCATATACGCGAAAAGGTTGGAGTAGCTCCAGTAGAAGATAAGATTAGAGAGAGTCGCCTTAGATGGTTTGGTCACATAAAACGGCGGCCTTCCAATGACCCGGTTAGGAGAGTAGAGGTATTAGATTTAACTTATGTTAAGAAAGAAAGCTTGATGTTGTTGTATAATTTGCAGAGAAAACGAGCATTTTTTTATTTTTTATTTTACCTTGAAACAACCAAAATATGAGCCCTTAACTACTTAAAGAAAACTATATATATATATAATTAAAATAAAAATAGAGCTGAAGGAACCTTAGTTATTGTTTACTAAATAACAAAAAAAAAAAAAAAAAAATCTAATTTTGATTTTTCTGAAGATACTTATATGAGTTATATATGCCTCAACTCTATAAAGCAAGAAATTATTTTGTGCGGAGATCGGACGGATGCAGAATATCATCCGGAGACCAATCAGAATGCGCCACATCAACGGTACCGAGTCTCGATACCGAGCATTACTAAAAAAAAAAAAAAAAAAAAAAAAAATCTAATTTTGATTTTTCTGAAGATACTTATATGAGTTATATATGCCTCAACTCTATAAAGCAAGAAATTATTTTGTGCGGAGATCGGACGGATGCAGAATATCATCCGGAGACCAATCAGAATGCGCCACATCAACGGTACCGAGTCTCGATACCGAGCATTACTGAGCCGCATCTGATTAATCTCCGGATGGCATTCTCCGTCCACACAAAATAATTAATCCTATGAAGTACAAGCGAGAAGAAAGCAAGGGGCACACAGCATCCAATTCTCTCTCCACCTTCTACAGCTGTAAGAACCCAGGCCAGAAAAGTCTTGCAAAACTTGCTGGCAACATTTTAGTCAACACAAATTAGGCTAATAAGTTAGCATTTAGATCCACACGACTGTCTTTGATGACCGTTAAATAATCCAAATATCCAACGAACGTGGGAAGCAATTCTCAATGTTTTCAAACAAAATAGATCAATTGAATAACATATTATTAGCCTAATCAATCTCAATGCCTCCAATCAAGATGGCTAATCTTTTTACAGCAGAAGCTTCCAACTCCAAATCAGGAACAATATACAAATACTAAGCTGCTAATAAAAGCGAAAGGTATCAAAAGAATAACAGCTTTGCATTTCCGATGGGCAAAAACAGGCAACCAAAGCAAAAAAATATCCATTTCCCTCTCATCTACATAAGCACTGTTAACTCTGCCCAGCATCAGTAAACTGCACAAAAGCTCTAATAGCCAAAATCATTTGAACGAATTGAGATATTTAATGTTTCATTTCAACTAAAACATTTTTCAGAAGTTTTTTTCAATATAGTTTGTTGAATTCTGACATTTGTGAGGATTCACCCAATCTGGGGAAGAAGGCTTCCCTGTCGATCAGCATCTGGAGATTGGTCATAACCTTTGACAACTGGATCCATAATAAGGGTGCGCAGCAGAAGGCAAATGCAAAAACTGCAAGAGCCCTGACCACACCATCAGAGTACCATGGATTTGCCATTACACCGAGGGCGGCGAGGATTGCGAACCAAGGAGTTAAGACTGGGAGCGGGGCGAGGAGGAACGAGTTGATGGCAATGGAAGCAATAGCTGCGGCACCGAGCAAATAGAGCGACCAGCCAAGAATAGGATGGATGGTTCTGGGTATGAGGAAGAAGGGAACTGTGTATGTAGCTATTATTGACCATAGAACCACCACCTTCAGCATGGAATGAATGAAGGCAAGGCTCTTCTCTGGCCTCCGGTTATAGCACAATTTTGACAGATTTGGGCGAGCCAGACGGGTGATGACTATTATTCCAAGGTATATTGCAGCCTGGATAAGCATGATAGGAAGCTCTGCGGTATACCTGTTTGTTTACAGTGGGACGAAAGAAGATGGCATTAGCTGTTGATGCAGCAGAAATAACTAGCATTTTTTTTATGGTGAAAATCATCATACCCGAGGTTCTTTCGCCGCTGCTCGTGCCATGAAAGCCCCAGCGGCAGAACTGGCCAGGACCACCAGTACCAAGGCTTGAACCAAGGTGCGCTCGGGAATGTTATAACGCTGTTAGGACCACATGGAATGCTCCAGCGAAGCTTGAGATCTAGAAAGGAAAACAACCCGTATGATTGATTGATTGATCATGATCGCATCCACCTTAATAGATGAAGGTAACAATAGAATTTCAAGTACTTTTTGTTTTGTGATGAGGAACCCCTCCGCTTTGCGGCGAGTAAACCTCGGTCAACCTAACAGACAACCCACACTAATTTATCCAGGCCAACACTTAAGACTGTCACAGCCGCCTATGGGATTCGAGCCCGGGACCTGGACTTTTTTGCCCAGCCGAGCTCCCCCCACATAAGCTAAGCTGCGGCGGGTGGATTTCAAGTACTTTGTAGTGATGGAAGGACATGTTTGTAAAATTCAAAATAGAATCAGATGAAAAGGAGGCCTTACAGTAATATGAAGCATCCATTTGATATCCCAGAGGAAGGCGGTAGGTGCCAACAAGCTTTGTATCATTGACGGGTGGATGGAACATTGGCCTGTCAAGCAAATCTGGGAAGTAACTGGCAAGGAAGCCCTGATCTGCACCATCAGGATTACTACGGCCTACTTGCAACTCATGAAGCATGTCTTTAAATACATTCATAGAAGGCTGCAGGTTCAAAATGAATATTGTAGTGAGAATCATTACAACTCTTTTTCTCGTGCTTCAAATATAGTAAGCACAATTTATCTGTGAAACTTCACAAAGCCTAACATTGGGTCTATGATTGCATCTCCAAAGCAAGTTTAATTGGGAACCACTATAGTACTAAAAATAAATCATCCATATGTTAAACAAAAATAAAAATCTTTATCATGGAAAAAATCTTTCTTTAAAATTACTACAGCCAAATAAGTTATTATGCATAAGCTAATAATGATAGCTCTCATCCCTAATTTCATAGAATTGCACCAACGTTCTCTTCATTACATCTAAAGACAGACGTAATTTGAAATTACATTTTGTTATCATTAACAGATTTTTCCTTTTATTAACTTATTTTACTATAATATAGAAAACAATGTAAATGTAATTGATATCTTCATACTATGTGCAAGGGTTTGCTTCGGTTAAGTGTATCTCCTTGTTAAAAAGAAGTATTGACTCTCCCAGTTAAACAAGTGAAAACTCTAAAACAAAAAGCTTTTATACACTTGATATGATATAAGAAAAAAAAAAACCAACATGCTTTAGCAGCAAAGTAATATTATAGTCATAAAAAAAAAATTCAGCAGCTTACATAAATTAAACATGTGAGAAGCCAGAACATGGCCAGATGAAATAAGAAGAAGAAGAAGCCCGGATAAAAAAAACTTTAGGGATCTGCATTCAGCATTTCACTTACAAATACAACAAACTTAATGAAACCTAGCAAATCGTTTTTGCTAAACAAAACAAAAGCTAAGATATGTCGATGAAAACTATTAGATGAGAAAGTACATTCAGTGTCATGAAAAATAATTCAATTATTTCACTTAAACAAGACATAAATGTAGCAGCTGTACCTGAAGGACAAAGAGACCGGTATGGAAGATACAAGGGTTTATGAAGACAGCACAGAATTGGCCGCACTGAAAGAGTTCATCCGTGCCTTGAAGGAATAAATTGTCAGAATCCAACATGACAACTCGGTCATAATCCACCAAGCTCCAGGCATAAAGCTTGTTTAGTGTCAGTTTGAATCTAACGTTGAAGTTCTTTTGCTGCTCATATGGGTTCTTCAAGTTCTCTACTGTCACCACTTTTACCTTGTCTTCCTCTTTCCTGTTTGCACAATATAAAACCTAAATAAATTTCTCAGCCAGTGAATGGGATTACGGGAGTACCAATGTCACCAATATGATCACTTCAAACTTCAGTGAAGCTAATAAGAATGAGAATGCAGTTCCAAAAGGAATTAAACAACAAATAGTAAATGTCATGGATTTTACAAATTTGATACTCCCATAGAACAAATTTGGGTGCATGGAATGAAATATTAAAGTTTATAGGATGATATGAATGGTAGAAATGAATTATAGGAGTACTATATTTGATATTAAAATTGTATATGGGTGTGATAGACATGTAATATTAATGTTTTGATTGTTAGATATACAAATAGCATGAAATAAAGTGGTATGTATGTAAATTTCCCTAATAGGGATCGACCAGGTCAGCCTTAGCTAAGCTTTTTTATTCATGTCAAAACTCGCATTGCCAACCACTTAGCATTTATATAGAAAGAAAAAAAAGCGATGCATCGTCACTTGCTGATTCAGCTTATCTCATTTCTTAAAACAACCAAGTTAAACGCCTTCTTCTGGCAACAGGTCACATCGCATGAGTCAAGTATTTCTTCAATGTAAATGCACACCATACAGTGTAAAGATTTGAATATTGACCTATTCAGCAAACAAGTACTAGCTAATGCATAGTAAATACTTTCTTATGGCTGAAAACAACTTGGCGATAGGAAGAAATAGGCCTCCGATGAGTCCTGGCTAGTAAAAGTTCGGGTAATACAATCTAAGCCCAATTCAAGCACGACTTTATGACTGAGTTTCTCAAAGTTTCAAGGTGAAACAGAAAGGTAAAATTTTCCAGATGAAAAACTGTATCAAATGCAGATGCAGACGGTTATATTTTTATAGATCCTAATTCAATATTCTATTGTTTTTTTATTTGTAGGAGATTCCCTGAAAAAGATTGTGAAAAAAAAAATCAAAGAAAGAAGTTTGCACTAGCATCATCCTCTTTATTGAAGAACGGAAAGACCAAAGCAAAACATTTTAATTTTACTAAAGCAATTTAAGGCTCATCAGAAAAGATGGGGGGCCACAATTTAGGCCGGTTCATCTGCTAGCGCTATGGACAAGGACTTCCTAAAAAGTCGTTCGTTCACATGGTAGCGACGAGCCGACGACTTAACTCCAGCTTTCTACTGCTCCCAGGAATTTCCTTTAATTTAGAAAGAAACAGAATAATGGAGAAAAACAATCAAATCGGCTCCAGTGAGAATGCAATAACAAAACAAATGTAAACAAGTTTGTTATTGAGAAAGAACAAAACAAGCAAACAAATAACTAAAGGAAACATAGTCCACCCAAAAAGACGTGTTTTTGCTTTCTAAGGTCTAAAGAAATGGACTAAAGTGAAAAACTACAGAATCTGGAAGCTATAGATGAGCAAGAAGGAAATATCTTGAATCCCAAAGTAAAAAATCTCAATATATGCATGGATAAAATTACCAAAAAAAATGCAGGGAGGAACCGCAGCATGCTAGGGTAGAAAGAAGTAAATATAGTATCTCCTGTAGCAATTCGTCGTCTTCTTCGGAAATAATTTGCTAAATCTTTTTTTTTGGGTAAACAATTTGCTAAATCTAAAAAACTAACCCGGAAAAATAGAATATAAAGAAAACAAATTAATCAGAAGTCATCCAGCTCGGACCGGCCGGTCGACTCGTACGATATCAACCGCTTGATTAAATTTCATAGTTTTACTTTTTTTTTTGCTTTAAAAGAATAAAATTCGATAACTATTCATGTCACCGGTTCCTCCGCCTATAGATGCGGAGTTGAAACTTCATTATTTTTCTCTTCTCGCTTAAGAAAGGGGGGAAAATCCTAGCATAATCAACAGAATCCGCAGGGCACATTACTTAGAAAGATGAAGAAAATATTTTAACAACAACAAAGGGAGAAGAAACGTACATCGCCTGGACCCATTCAATCGGTACATCATCGGAAGCAATGACGACAAGATCGGCATCAACCCTAAGCTTAGAGAGGGATCTCATCATCACCCTGGTTGCAACATAGAACTCGTAATCCCGTGGCGTCCCCATGTACATCATAGCCGCGTACGCATGGCGCTTCGCCCCTACGGCTACCAACCCCAGCGCCGCGTCCTCTGCCGCCGTGGTCCACGTGAGCACCACCAAAATCAGCAACATCGGCAAGACAAATCCCCACCGCCGCTGCTCCATAATCCTAAGTCCTAATTTCCCAAAAAGAAGCAAATACAACAGGAATAGCAGTTCTGAGCTACCAAAGATCGGATCTCCTTCTCAGGCACCTCTCCGCACTCGCATTCCAGGATCTCCCGCGTTTCACCTCGAAATCTCATCCACAGCGTTCTGAGAGTCCGATCGTCTCTGGCCGGCGATCATGGCCTGGGCAATGGTCGGAAATTCAACGGAGGAGATATAAGAAGAAAGTGCGCGACTTTTCTTCGGGACTCCTAAGCGAAATGGTGACCGAGTAGTGCCCTAAAACTTTAGCAGGGATTTGCTTTGTGAAATGTGATGGATGCATATATAGCAGAGGGAGCGACAATTTATTTTTTATTTTTTTAAAGCCGGGGGATATAAAATATAAATAAAACATAATTAAATAGGAAAATAAGGTTCGGCTCGGCGTCTTCATGCTCAGCGGCGCGGCTCTCTTAGCTGGGCCGTTGCACGCTGCGACCGCGTCGCACTACGTAGAATTTCATATTTCATGCGAGGACGGTTGAAATATGTGGCATGGTTACTTGGTTAGTAAGACTTAATATTATATGAAAATTACGGATATGCGCATAAATAAATAAATTTAGAAAATATGCACATAAGTAATAAATTATTAGTTTATAACTTTATATAAAGTTTAAAAATGTTTTAATATAAATTTATAACGGCTAATAACTTTACATTTTCCCTATTTTGGTTGGCTTATATCAAGGATCAGTCTTAAGCTCATATCTTTTTGTTTTAATCATGGATGTTCTCACTAGACATTTGCAAGAGGATGTACCTTGGTGTATGCTTTTTCCTGATGATATTCTTCTTGTTGATAAGACTAGAGAGGGAGTTGAAGATAAACTTGAATTATGGAGGCCAACTTTAGAGTCTAAAGGTTTTCGCTTGAGTAGATCTAAAACAGAATATATGGAGTGTAATTTTAGTAGTAATAGACCTAGTGAGGGGATTGTGACTTTGGGCGATCAAGTCATTAATAAGAGAACATGTTTTAGATATCTTGAATCTATTGTTCAGAGTGATGGTGAAATATATGAGGATATTATCAGCAGAATTCTAGTTGGATGGTTGAAGTGGAGGAATGCATCGGGCTTGTTATGTGATAGAAATGTACCCCTCAAACTTAAGGGGAAATTCAATAAGATGGTAGTGAGGCTTGCAATGCTTTATGGTGCCGAATGTTGGCCATTAAAAGAGAAGCATAATACTAAGTTAAGTGTGGTAGAGATGAGGATGTTCAGGTGGATGAGTGGCTTTACCCTTAGAGATAAGATACGAAATAAGCATATACATGAAAAGGTTGGAGTAGCTCCAGTAGAAGATAAGATTAGAGAGAGCCGCCTTAGATGGTTTGGTCACATAAAAAGGCGGCTTTCCAATGACCCGATTAGGTGAGTAGAGGTATTAGATTTGACTTGTGTTAATAAAGGTAGGGGTAGAACTAAAAAAACTTGATTAGAAAATATTAGGAATGACCTTCATTTATTAGATTTAAATGAGAATTTGACTTTTAATAGGACATAATGGAGAAAAAGGATTCATGTAGCCGACCCCACGTAATGGGATAAAGGCTTGATGTTGTTGTTGTTATAGTTAGAAATCTTAGGCAAAGAATCTTTAGACCAAGAACTTAATGATTTCAGAATTTCATCCCCTTCTATCAAAGCAATAGAGGGATAATCACATAAACATAACATTTTTTCAATTCCTGAACTCCAATCTCCAAGATCTGAGAAGAATCCTCATGGAAGCAACCATCCTTTGAAACCCTATGCTGTTTCGATTGCAAACCTCCAGGAAAAACAAAAATTCAAAACGAAAATAAAAATTAAGAAGAAACATTCAAACCATAATCTCTACACAACCTATTACACCATTCTTGATGAAGGTCGTTACCTTAGCTGGAAGCTCCAATCTAAACTTTAGATCTCAATAGCAAATAAGAAATGGAGTAGACAAAAATACACGGCGAGCTCCATGATCCTCTCTCAAAATGAATGCCTAGGATTGGAGAAACGCCAAAAGTAGAAGCTCAAACTGAGTACCTGTTCGAGTGAGGAAGAGGCGAATGGAGATCTTCTCGATTGGTTTTGGCGCGGCAAGGGCAAGGTCGGGGAGACGCTCCTGCGACGAAGAATAAGGGATTTCACGCGCGAAAGCCAGAGTCGGGTGGGCTATTCACGGCGTTTAGACGGAGTAGTAATTTAGATGAAATGAGTGTATTTGAGTGGTATGTATGTAAATATAAAACTTTGGGTGTTGAATATGTATTTAGGATAGTTTGAAGTGTTATGTATGTAAAAATCCCTTTAAAATTTTGTCTGCTAATATATCTATATTATGGGCCAACGTATTTTCTATGTCATGTGGGTCTTTCTCCTCTTAATTGTTGTTTTGTTTGCATTAAAACCTCCCACATTGTCTAATCTAATGGGTATGAAAGTCGATCAAGCAAAATAGCATAAAGCCCCATTCATATAATGTCTTAGCATCAAAATCCTACAACCAATCTCATGACCCATCAATAGATTGATTACTCAAGAAATAATGACTCGCCCGTTGTCATAACCCAACCTAATTAGGACATGCCCTATCATGTTCAGTTGTGATAGACAAATCCCAATATATAGTTTAGAATGTTTTAGTTTCTCTTTCAATATTTATTTTAATGAACTACAGATTATAGAGCTATTAAAACATTCAAATATTAAAAATAAACTCATCAGCAAGATACGACATACATCTCTGAGTTGGGTTAACCCCATAAATCTCATTCTTGGACTATTTTTATATCTAAGGTAATAAATAGTGGTCTTCTTTTGATGTTGAAATCTATAAATCAGGATGAATGATATGCTCACCATCTCAACAAAGCCCTCTATTTTTACCTTTCTAAAATTCTCGTATAAAAACCACATAAAAAAGAAGTATATACCCACAATACACATTCCAACTAAGAAGAAAAATAATATCCATGCAAAATAATAGTAAACCCCAAAAGCATGAAGAAGATAATCAACCTTCAGCTGCACAACACAAGGTTAATTAGCACACACAAGAAGAAGCAGCTAAAAACAGAACCAGAGAATAGAGCTTGGAGAAAACTCTTGGTCTCCTTCATTACTTTCCTGCATACTTGCAGCAGCTACAGTAAGCAGTATATATAAAGTAGTTAAATACAAAAGCAAGGGTGATGATCATCATAGCAGAGATCAAATGGTAGTGAGGTAAAGATGCTCTGCCATTACAACAGAGATAGTGTGAAATGCAACTACACGTGAGCCGACTTATGTATAAGGAGTATAACTTATATGTTCTTCTTATCAAAGCAGACCTAAAAACCAAATAACATTAAGTGCTCAATCATTAGCCATAGAATGCCCAAACACCAATCACGAGAGAGGGTTAGTCATGCATCATTAATAAAGCTAAGAAAAGCCAACCAAGAAGTAGGCCATAATTCTAAGATTAATGAACATCATTGTGCACACAACAAAATGACAAGATCTCGAGTAACGTTAGGCATAAATTCACGTACATATTCAATTAAAATATGCAACTCATCTTGATCTTTTGGTTGTGAGCTTTGACTACTAATTAAGAGATCCTATATTCGAAGCTTGTGTATGTGATATGTGTATGAGTTTGCCTTAATGACGCAAATGTCCAATGTTTTTTTTTTTTCAATTAATTCCTAGTTTGGGACGGCTTTCTAACTACTTCTTAAAATAACTTTCTAATACAAAAATTTAAATTTTTATGTTAAAAAGTTGTTTTAAGAAGCTTTAAGAAAGTCATCCCAAACGAAGCCTAAATGTCAATAATAGTGTCTCAATCTAATCAATGATTGTGGGATGTGTAGCATTTGACCAGATCAATGTAGGGAGTTTAGAGGAACGATTCTATGGAAAATATCAAATTAATCTACTCTTAATTACCTTGTAAATACGCATAAAATGATCCAACAAATTGTCCATATCTGCCGTCTTGAGGAATTAGGTGGAAGGAAGGCACAAACTACTGTAATTAATTTTAATTACATGTTTATAATTTAATGCATTACTAACTATTAGCTAGCTGCTAGCTGTTGCATTCAATGATTTAATGTTTTCTTAGCAAACAATAAATTAATATTTATAATAAAGGAAATGCGATTTTTGAATTGGTGTAAAAATTTTTATGATGAGTGGACCAATTCAACAGGCAAAATTTTTTTCTTTTTTTTTTTTGTTTACTTATGAGCCAATTAAGGCAGATCATGATGAGCTGCATATAGAAAAAGTTTAAATTTAACTACACCGTAGCATGAATTCTAAGATTTCATTTGAGATAGCTTTTTCATTGTTTTTTAAAACGGAGTTTTAGTACAAAAAAATTAACTTTTGTACTAAAATCCCGTTTTAAAAAGCAATAAAAATAGTGCCAAAAAATCTAAACTGATAAAACAATTTGACCCATTACTTGATTCATTACTTAGGCTCTGTTTGGGACGGCTTTCTTTTTGCTTCTTAAAGCAGCTTATTAGTACAAAAATAAATTTTTTTATACTAGAAAGCTGCTTTAAGAAGCAGAAAGAAAACAGTCCCAAACGAAAGCCTTAGTTAGTCATACAAGTCATAATGAAGTACAACTACCATGACCTTAGCTATTTGTGTTGATGATTATGCTCATTTTTTTAAATTTTTGTATGATTAAGCAATTTTTTTGACTTTGTAAATGCTAAACTTGCACCAGAGTGTGAAAGAAAAGAATTTAAAATTGATTTGATTGATCACAAGAGAGGAAGAGACCAAAGAGCCAAAGATTTGGCTTTCCAAGAAGGATGGAATTGAATTTTAGCAGCTTTAATAGTAAGCATAGGGCTAGGTATTTAATAGAATTTGATTTTTTTTTCAATGTTGCATAAATTGTTTCACCTATGGTGTGATATTATTTGTTCATCTCTTAGAAAGTCTTGTCTATTTTTGGACTTGATCATGATTGAATAATATTTTGGTTGTTTTAAGATATATATGATGAGAATCCTTCAAGTTCACTTTTGTCTTATTTCATAATTTTTTTAATTCATTATAATTCTATAATTCATGAAATTGGTGGATATTTATTAAATTTGGGTATCATTCGAAAATTTCTCCATATAAATGAGGTTCATCATTATTTTTTTGATTTACCAACCAAGATTAAGTTCTTGTGAATCATCAATGGTATTGAATTGCTCTTATAGAGACAAGTAAATTAATTCAAGTTGCAATCAATTGTCATCATA